ACTTTAGAAGAAATAAGCCTAGATTTGTGTTCGAAATTGACTGTAACCAGAAGATGACTTCTATTGAGTTCAGTAGATTAAAATCACATGGTCTTGATGTCAAGCAATGTATACCTCAGTGCTTGCAGTGCTTTGATTTTAATTGATTTTTGATTGGTTTTAAGAAATTAACAAAACTAATTGTTAAGTGCTTGCACCAATTATTTGATAAAGAATTATATCTTAAGGCCATAACTATTAACAACATAGTTTATGGTTCTTTTAAAAGCTTTCTTAACAGTAGTGAATAAAATGATTTGTTTGAAAACCATATTTTATTGCATGAATTAAATTAATAAAGAAACAGTTTTCTTTTAGTAGATTGGAATTTAGCAAACATTTGAGTTTTATGTGCTGTATTATAGAATTTTTTTTAGTAAACTTTGGAAATCAACAATTTTAAAAGATATAGAAGATATTTTTTTTAATGTAACAACTTTCTGTTAATTGCTGGCCTAAGTATAAAAATATACTGTTAAAAAAGTTATGGAACCATCTGTTGTACCAGCAATAAGCTAGCAGACAAATAATTGGAATGCTTTGGATTTTTTTCTTGTCAGTTTCAATTTAATTTATAATATTTTCATGATGATAGTTTACATCAGTATCTGTGGTCAGGTAATTTTTCATTCTGTCTGTCCACCTGTCAAATTTCTTGTGTCTGGTTTTAACAATATTTTGTTTTAGATTTTGTAACTCATTCATCATAATAAGGTTGATATTACATTTAATTAATGAAAAACATGAGGAAATTGAAGTTTGTAGACAAATTTATCTTCACATGATTTTTTTTTAACTTTGGCAAAGAGGAAGTTTTTTTTTGTTCAAATTTGTTATTGAAATAGTTTAGTTTGCTGATTATATCAGAGGTAATCCAAATGAAGTGTATATGTTGGAATCTACCTGAGGGATGAGTGGTGGGGGCTCTTGAGGAAAAAAAAAAGAATATTTTATTGTGTTGCTAGGTAACAGTGGTGGGAATTGAAGGATTTGCACATAAATGTCAGACAAACAGATATTAACTCATCTTTTACTGCAGTTTGTATGCTTCACATTGTCTATCCATCCTTCTGTCTATCTACATCTGTTCTTTCCCCCTATAAGCTTTAGATTTATGGCGATTATCTTATGCTTACTACCAAGTCCCCAATTGGACTTTCACTTTTCCCCCCATATTTATTGTTTGTTATTGCTTTTATTATCTTCCCCTTTATATTGATTATATCTTTCTACTCCTGCCTAAAATCATTTCAATTTTGTAATGATTCTGGACTTAAAAATTTTTTACTTGAAAGACAATGTTGATGTTTCTTGCTTTAAATGGTGTTTATGGACCCCAAAAACTTTCCACCCCAGGCTTGTGTTATTTTGCCAAAATCAGCAGCATGCTCAACGCCAGTATATCATTATTTTTTGTTTTATATCTAGTTTATAAAAAGTCCTTCCTTCCTGAACCCTTTCATATAAATTGTACATGTTTAAGTTGTTATCTAAAAACCAGAATGTTTTACCTGCTGATTAGGAGAGGACAGCTGTTACATCAAAAATATTGAAAAACAAAAAAAACCTCTCCACAAATTAAGAGTTTCCTTCCAAGCTGGTTTTAATTACGCTTTGAAAAATGTGCCTCATATTGACAAATGAGTTTTGATAAAATCTTTCTAAAGTTTTTCATATTATTAAAATTTCATTGTTAATATGTTTTTTTCTCTATTGAAATTTAAAATACTTTATTGTGGAAGTGTTAGTAATTTGATGATATTTAATTATGTAAAAGGGACACCTCTTAAGTTTTTTTGACATGATGGGACTGGAAATAATTTTTTTCGCAGTCTGTATATATGCCATCTGATGTAGACCAATAGACCATATTGTGTATGCAAAATTTCAACTTGGTCAATCTAATTGTTTCATTATCATTGAAATTGAGCATAGTGACAAAAAAATAAAGCATTAGCACAAATTGGGTCAAGAATAGCACATAAAAGGAAAAAAAAACAATTGCCAATTTAATTCTGAGTAAAGTTCTTTAATCATCTTTTGCATATTTTTCCCCCCAGTAAATTTTTGTAAGAAACTAAGAATTTTATGTTTTTTGGCTCTTGGACCTCAGTAGAGTTTCTGTAATAAAAGTTATTTGGATAAGTTTATTTATATAGACAATTGTTATATAAACATATTTTGTTGAATCTTCTACCTCTCTGTCAACTTTCAAAGACACTAAGTTTTATACTGAAAAAATGTTTTCTTACATAATTTAAGTATCAAGATGTAAATATTCCATTCCAATTTTGAAATTGATTTTTTTTTTAAGAAAAAAAGTTTGGTAAAATTTCTATCCTGTAAGAAGGGAATGAAATAGTGAGCAGTAATGAAGATTTACGATGCGGCTGTGATGCTGGTTTATCTCTAAACTTGAAACTTTTTAAAACTATTTAGCATCACTTTTTGAAGTTTTCTGGTATGAGAGATAATCTAAAATACATGTTTTTTTCATAATTTCTGTCATCTTCTGTAGGGAAGGAAAACATGATAAATTGTATTGAAATTTTTTATCAGTGGAATCCATCTGTAAAGGATTTTGATGTACAGATTTATATGTTCTTAAAAAAAAATAAATGATGATTTTAAGGTTGAACCACTGCTCAGTATGATATATATATATACTGTTGCATGGAGATCTGTTGAAGTGGAAAGCCATTTATATTATTTTGTGTGATTCATTTATCTTATACACTGTGATACTGGCAGCCATTTGTCTAGCTGTATGTTCAGATATCTATATATATATACTTAAATGATGAATGGACTTCATCCTCAACATCACAATAACACAAGCTACACTTTTTTACTATCAGTGAAATAAACAGGAAAAAAGCTATAGCTGATAAAAGATAAAATATGGTTCTTAAGATTGAAAGATAATATTTATCAAGTGATTTGTATGAAGTGAAAAATAAGCAGCCATTAATATGTTATTGAAGTATCTTTACAAAATTAATCAGCAGGAATTTTTCATTGGAAGGGTTTGATAGAAAATTATGGCAATAAATCAAAATTGATGTTCATGAAATTTTGCAGCAGTGGTAAATACATTAGATGGTTAAAGTGCCAAGTAGGGTGTCTGTTTTTTTAAGTAATCATGCAGTTTTCATAAACATTAGTGTTGTGTGGTATACATAACATTCTTATGAAAATAAAAAAAAATACAATATTTATGCTAAAAAATTATTTTTAATTTTTGTCAATGAGAGATGTTATAATTATGGTTTTGAATAAGTGAAATGTTTAATGGATGAAGGATCAAAGGATGTTATCACATAATTTTGAAATTTATAAAGCTTTTAAACAATTTTAAGTTGTTTTTGGTCATAAAAGTTAATTGGATTTGAAAAGAAACAACAACAAAAAACAAAACAAAACTATGGTTTAATCATAAAGGTAGATAACTGCTGTGCTGAAGTTTTGAACCTTTTAGTTAATTACAAAAACAAGTGTGTGAAAATTGTTTAAACTTGGAACCACAAGACAGAATAAAAGGGATGAAAGACAGATGTTAAATCTATTTGCTCAGTCAGTAATTTTGCATATGGCAGAGATTTAATCACCATAGGGATAGGGGGGTTGGTGTCTGACTGGGCTAGATGCCCCTTTGGCTATAGACTGTATTTGATTATAGAATCAGAGGATTTTCTATTTATCTAATAATGTGTTTTTCTTTGAATGTCCAAGGTTTTAACTATACCACAGCTGTTAGAATTCTGATTGGTCAAGAGGAACCACTCCACACCATTCCTTAACTTGAATATGATTTAATTGGAAAATACCATTAACAAGGACTTGTGGAATGAGTTCCCCATGGGAATATTTCCTGACAAAAATTTCTACAGAAAATGCAAGCCAGTGATATGAAAGGAAACAACTTGTTAACATTTTGTTCATATTTTGAGATATAAAACTTGTTACAAAAGCTGTGTGTTTCATTATAAGCCTGTAGGTTTATTACATTGTAGGCATTTTATTAGGGTGAGGGGGCTAATTTAGACTGTTGGCAGGGGCTATAATCACTGCCGATTTATGAAGCCATTACTGTAATTGGCTGTTACTAGAATACAGTGTTACCCACCTTTATAACAGTGAAAATTACACCTGTCTGTTATTTGTAGAGATAATTGGCATATCTTTTTCTGTTATCAGAGAAAGGTTGTTTTTTTCCCCTCTAACATTGTAAAACATTACAATGAACATAGAGGACAAAAATTATGTTCAATTTAAAAATGCATTTGTAAGTATGATTACATATGTAAAATGTATCTGAAATGTGAATGAACCTCTTAACTGACATATTAAAGGCATGTTAAAAAGCTTTCTTCCATGCCGGGACACGGTCCTCATCTGATAAAACATAACTTAACAAAGATTGTATCTAAGTTCAAAAACTAATTGGATTTTGTGTATGGTACCCTTGTTGAATTTGTTAATTAGAAATCTTTGGCAAGCTCTCAAATTAAAACATTAATTATTTCCAGTACTGGCTGAAAAAAGGGATTTGATTAGGGTACTGTTAAGATCACAGTTGTGGAGAATCACAAGTGTAATGCTGGGTTACAAAATGAAAGAGACATTGAGTTGTAATCTGCAGCATTTGATTGGGCGATTTGAATTCTGTTATTGAAATCTAATCTTCTTTAAAATTTTGGGTTTTTATAAAGCAGGACTGGTAGTTGATTTTGAAGTTGTTTTTTTGTATTATGCTGGTATTCATGAGGCTATAGAAAATTATTTTGTAAGACAGAAAATTCAGTAATTAACTTGGAACCCACTGTGAAAATTCATTTGGAAAGATTTACAAGGGGTCTTATTCATGATAAAAAGAAATTGATGTATAAATGAACATGCTGATTTTGATAAAGATGAACTTGTATAACTTGTGTACTAAGTAACATTTTGTCTATTTACAGGTACATCAGTATTTCCGTGCCTTACCGGAGGAGAAGGTGCCATATTTGAACAGTTTAGGGGAGAAGTACCGGGTACGACAGTTATTACAACAGCTTCCACCACATGACAATGAGGTTCGGTACTGTAATAGTCTCAGCGAGGAGGAAAAACATGAGCTGCGTATGTTCAGTGCGCAAAGAAAGCGTGAATCTCTGGGCCGAGGAAATGTACGGCCGTTGCCTCTCACTATGCAAGGAGGTGTCTGCTCCAAGGTTTGTCATTTTGTCCGCTCTCCGATATTAAAGATGGATATTTTAACTGTTACGTGTTTATAGAAATAAAGGCATTTAGAAATTGATGTAAAAATTGATTAAGAAAATAAAATTTGATGAAACAATGGAAGCATTTATATTTACAACAGCTGGGTGTTGGTAACATCCGGATAGAACTTACTATTTTATTGTGTATAATACCTGATAGGACTTGCGTCTATAATTGTATATAAGGGAGACAACTGCTTTAAGTTTTATGAGCAGATAATTTATGCTTATCTCCCCTTTGAGTTTCCATTTTAAATAATATTGTGTGATATCATTGTAATTTCAGTGTAAGGGGATGATATCAGGTGGAGATATAGCTGTGTTTGCGTCACGCTGCGGGACTGACCGGTTCTGGCACCCGTCTTGTTTCGTGTGTATGACGTGTGATGAACTGTTAGTGGATCTGATATATTTCTACAGAGATGGCCAGTTGTATTGTGGAAGACATCATGCAGAAATTATCAAACCAAGATGTGCTGCCTGTGATGAGGTAATCAATCAATTAGTTTAATTAATCAATTAATCAACAATGATTAATTAATCATTTGATAAGTTAGAGAATCAATTTATCAATCAGCCAATTATAATGTAAAAAAAAAAAATGTATGAAGATTAAATTGCAACAAGGAACATGCATACAAAATAGCGCAGGCATAATTTATCACGTTGTATGAAAATCGACTTCATTAATTGAAAGGTGATAGAATCATGCAGCTCATCAATCAAGATTTGAAATTTTAATCTTTCTTTTGAACATCTTCATCTGTTTCCTTCAATTTATTTATCTTGATCAGAGACTAGCAGTAAAATATGGGACTTTTATTTGGACAACTATTCTATGGAAAAAAATGACATCACTAATCAATGAAGTTGATCGTACCTTTCTTTTATCTTTCTTGAACTTCTTTGGTATCATTTGATCTTCTTTAGCATCCATTTAGTGTAATCATTTTGAAGAAAAAGAGATTAATTTGAGGAGATAAAAGTATTGTTTAACAGGAAAATTTTAAAACTTGATGTTTTTTGTCAAAGAGAGACGAACATTAGCATTTCTATGGAAATCCAAGAAGATTGTTTATTAGAACATGATTCCAAGATGTCTTTTGCTGGTTTTTTATGCTTAGATGTTTTTGTAAAGTCATTTATATTGTCTGCCAAAGGAAAGGACACATGCATAATTATGTTATAATTCTGACTAAAATTACAATATTTAAAGTATTTTTGCATTTTTTTGTGAGAGCTAGTTGCTTCTGGTTATATTTAAATTTAAATAATCTCTGTTGCCATAATTCTTCCCTACATAAAGTCAAGTCTCAAAATATATATATAAAAAGAATGGCCTGTGTAGAAAAATTCCAATTGGAAGAAAACAGTTACAAAATGTTAGATAGCTTAAAAAAGTAAAATCTATAGAATAGCAGAAATTTTGACATTGTAGTTTATATTCGTTCTGTTTGTCAGTCACTTGTATATTATTTGATTGTAAAGTTTTCCTTTTTGCAATGTCTTCAGATTATTTTTGCTGACGAATGTACGGAGGCAGAAGGACGTAGCTGGCATATGAAACATTTCTCATGTTTCGAGTGTGATGCCCAACTTGGTGGACAGAGATATATAATGAGAGAAGGCCGACCATTCTGTTGTGTGTGTTTTGAGCGAATGTTTGCAGAGTTCTGTGATACCTGTGGGGAACACATTGGCGTAGATCAAGGACAGATGACCCATGAAGGTCAGCATTGGCACGCCACACCACACTGTTTTAAATGTCATACATGTCAAAAATCCCTACTAGGACAACCATTTCTGCCAAAACATGGTGTTATATACTGTTCAGCTGCTTGCTCAAGAGCAGGGTCGTTAAATACCCAGACACCGCGTAGAGCCGAGGATTACATGCAAGATATAAGTAACATTCGACTTGGTTCACCAGTAAGTCATGCCATGCAAGAAAGTAGTGTTATGGCATTACAGGAAGTTTTACGACAGCAATATACCATACCTGAGAGCTGTCCTTCATCTGATCGGGATCAAGGTTACGCTACGAGTAGTAACAGTGAAGTTTACGCTCCTGGCATATACGAGCCTCCAACTAAAGCTAGAATTGAAATGTCTGGATATGAAATAAATATGGACGGTTTAGTGGATGCTCTTCCTATGCATGATGCTAAAAAGAAAAGACTTTCACAGTTATCAATGCCAGATTTATCAAAAGAACGATTGAAGCGAAGTGGTTCTGAACGAGACAGTAGCAGCTCAGGCTCAAGAAGTCGAAGCATTAGTAGAAGTAGATCTGGATCGGAGAAAAATCTGGGAGTTAAATTCAGTGGAAATGCGCAAGCAAATTACTATCATCCGGATGTGCCAACTAACTTTATTCAACCATACAATGGTGGAAAGCCAAAAATTTTAACTGCACAAAATGGTTGTACTAATCGGTCTTTTCCTGAATTAAGAAACGTATCATCTGCCAATACTCCGACTGAGGATATTAATGAACTGCCTTTGCCTGATGAAGAAAAAATGAACCCTATATCGCGTCCTCCCAATGGAAAGTCACGTCATCATCGTCATGGAAGATATCCGCGAAGTCGTAGTTTTGAAGGTCGAGCCTCGATGCTCGGTCATTCTAGTCACGCCGGTGAAATGGAAAGAAAGAAAATTTTGAAAAATACAAATCCTAACATGTCTCACAATTCAGAACTGTCGATGTCAATGGATAGGGGCGTAGATCATTACGAAGACTCTTGTAGTACGTGTAGCACGTGTTCTAGCTCAAGTGACTCCGAGGACGACTTTGATTATTACTATGACAGTCCAAATAAAGGTGCCACTAGAATAACTTACGTCGATAGCTTTGGCTTTGCTGGAAATAAGTGTTCAACATTGGGACGACCAGTGCGTAGGCATAAAGGCAAAAAAGATAAAAATTGTGTAATTTCATAGTTAAAACCTGTGCTTGTTTTTACTACTTTGTGCGTTTTTATAAATTGTTATATATTTAAGTAATTTAATTTATGTACCTTCTGACTAATGTATATATAAAGGACAGGTAATTGTGATATTTTGTTTATGATTAAAAACTTGTATATTTATTATTGACACTGAATTTTATGTAGTTTGTAAATTGACACAAGCATAACTCTATAGTAGTGTGAAAAAATATAACATACACTATTAATATACTGCTAAATACATAAGTATACTTTTTAATAGATCTTAAAGACAAATTGTTGTACAACATACCCATGTTTTATTTGAATCTAATGGAAATGATTTTTTTTTAATGAAAGGTTTTTATTGTTTTGTGCCTTTGTATAAATGAAGATAATGCTTTGAATGGCATGGTGTATGTTACATGTAGCAGTTCATAGCAAATCAGGTGCGGTATATAGTAACAAAGTATATGATACCAATTTCATGAACTGAATGTTAATTTAGGTGAGAGGGATATGTAAACGATATCAAATACACTTCCTTTTCAATCAAAGTTCACTGCACATTGAAAGTGACAACTAAATAGATATTAAAAATGTTAAAAAAGAAACTGGATTTTTTTTTGGTTAAACTTACAGCGTGGTCTGATTAAAAAAGTCATTTTTCATTCTGCAGATTCTATAGATTTTATTGTGAAGAAATAAAAATATGACAATTGAGATTTGATGCTGTGAATTAAAAGAATGTGAAAATGCACCATGCAGTTGATTTATGGATCTACCTAGAGGCTTTATTCTAACATTATTCTAATTTCATGCAGACTTTTTCATTTGAATATTTAAATGAATATAAATATATGACAATGATAAATTAAGAGAAGTTGCAAATAATACAGTCTTGTTAAAAAATACCTGTCGGAATGTATGACCTTGACCCTCAATATATGCATACTGAAACCTGGATTGGTCTAGTTTAAGAAATTAACATATTTTTCCATAACATTCTCTGGTGAAAGGTTTATAGGCTGTGTTATTTAATGTTAGACATTTTTATGCTGTTTTGATATCATTTATTAACTAATAATAGGTGAAAGTTGTCAGTTTAAAAATATTTCGAAATTTAGGATTTTTTTACCAAAAGCAAAGTTTTTCTTGACAATACTATTGCTAACTTAGATATGATTTAAAGATGTTAAGTATCAAAATTTCACCCCTGTGTAATGTTATATATGCTGATATTATGTAATTGTGTTCATGTGTATACTGCTGCTGTGTAGTACAATCATATGCGAAAATTTATTACACAATAATTTTACATCTTTTTATGAGACTTAAGTAACTGAATGTTAAATTACTCTGATGTATGGCCAGAGGTTTTTGAATTTGATTATTTTTTGGTGAAGACTTTTAGGAAGATAAACAAAATTATGTTGAGCAGTTGATTTATTTTTAAAATGATAATATAATGATTAAGTCAAGCTATTTGTTCTTTTGTTATTTTTTCGAAAGATGTAATTAAAAGTTGATTTTATGCCTTCTGTTTCTAGTTCTATGCCTTTAGTTAGGTAATTGTGCCTACAGTTAGGTAATTGTTCCTAGAGTTAGGTATTAAATTGTTCAATAAATAAATTGTTCTGTTAAAATGTTGATTTATTTTCCTTTCATTGTTACTTGTTGACGGGACAATATTCAGGATGGGAGATTCCTGTTTCAAAATATTAACGCCAAATAATGTGTCTATGCAATTATATAACACGTTGTTCAGAGTTCCTCTCGTGATAATAATGTTTATAATTATAACTCACCTGTTAATTGTAGTTTGTTAAAACACACCTATATTACAAAGATAGGGCTAATCTTTATTATTGTCATTATTTATACATGTATTGTACTTGTAATTTAATTAAACGGCCTACAGATGAAATAAATTTAATCTTTCAAAAAAATCAAATGTAAAAGCAAAGTAAATTGTTGTCTGCTGAAATACATTTACCGAGGTCCGCAGTATCTCTATTGCATAAACCTTGATTGCCAACGTCCAATTTTCCTAAATTTTTGGGAATGTCTTAATAATTGAAATTCATATCGTAAATTACAATATTTTGATTAATTTCTAGTCACTAAGTTTTATTTGAAATGCTTCAGTCTTTTTAATTTTAAGTACATTATTTCTTCTTTTACGCGCAAATCAAACCTTTTTTGAATCTCAATTTTTTTCCCCCTCACATATGTAAGTATTGTAGTCACAAGTTTGACATCTAGTACTGGGTATTTTCCAGGGATATTCATTTTACAAATTTAAGGGTTAACTGGTTATGTCATTTAACTGGTTATGCCATTTAACTGGTTATGTCATTTAACTGGTTATGTCATTTAACTGGTTATGTCATTTAACTGGTTATGTCCTTATTGGTTCTAAACAATTATTATTTGTAGCACAAAGATTCTATGTTAATATCAAGCACTTGAGTGGATGTTGAAATGCTTGGGACTTTTGCACATTTGTGTATCAAAATGTTATTCATGAGTATAGATTAAAATAACAACTTGCATCTAGATTATATGAAATCAAAAATTGAGTATAGAATTTATTTCTACCCAAGCACATATTTATAACAGTGCATTACTGCTGTTATGTAAAGATACAATCAACATTATGTCTTCCAGTTTAGATAATAACTTCCACTTATATCACAGACTGATTGTCTTTCAATGCCAGGTTGTGAAATACCCACCTGCAATATATGGCAGCATATGTCTTAGTCTACAAAACTATACATACTTGTTTATTTCAAATAGCAATGGAATAATCTTATGTTATCTGAATGTTAGATTGATTTTGCAAGGTTTAGACAGAGTTATTTCCCTTGATAATAACTTGTAGTGTTGGGGGGGGGGGGGGATTTGCAGAATGATAGGTGCTGTCTCTTAAACAATACCAATTTGTATATGTTTCATTATCTCCACTTGTTATTTACCATCACAGAATGATATGCTTTTTATTTTGTAATGTTGTAAAAAGTAAAAACTGCTATTTTTCCCTATTTCAAATAAAACCATATATTTCTATCGTAAACAATTGTAAAACTCATTTTCGTAAGCTTCCTTTATAGTTAGAAAAATAAAATTTCTCTCTTTAAGTTTCTATTTTAGATTCCAGAAATGTTATGAAAATGTGTTGTTATTTTCTTTTAGATAATTAACTTTTATAGCATTCTTGAGTGGAAACTGCTGGGAAAAATAATCTCATAATTTGTTTTAAATAGAAAATATAAATACCATATTTTACTTCAATACAACTAACTAGAACAAGTCTATTTTAAGAAAATTTAGTAAAAATAAACATTTATGATTAGACTTGTTTAAAATTATATGACTGACATGGTGTTTTGAGATAGAATACAGAACTGTTGAACTTTTTTTATATGTGTGAATCAAGTAGAGACTGCTGGTCAATTATCTGGAACATATTCCTCCCTGAGTTATGGCATATGTTATAATACTCTGCCTTAATTAATCAAAGATTGTATTTGTAGTATTGTTTATCCTAAGATAGGGTACATGTTTCATTTGTATTATGTTATTTATGCAGTATTAAAATTGAAAAACAAATAAAAACTTGTTGTATTTTGTGTTTTACATGTCATCATAGACTGTCCATGCAAGGTAAAAGAATAAGATTAAACATCTAGCATTAACATTCTCTGCTCTATGTAAGTATTATTATCATGGTGTTATTATTTTGTGATTTGGCGATCTGCATGGGACAGGAAACCAGTATTAAGACATTCCAGCATTTATTTTTCTCAATATTTGATAAAGAAAAAACATATAAACAACAAACATACCCATTATTTCTATGGGATGAAATATAGAGCCTGCTTATTCCAGTGAGTAACCAATACATGAATAGAGAATGTTTTTGGGGAAAAAATAGTATTTTTGTCATAAAGTGAAACAGCATGAATTTCTGATTGTCCAAACGCACGTGTTTCATTTTGTGAAAAAAAATACTGTTTTTTTTTTGTCCCAAAAAACTTGTAAGTATTGACTAGAATGAGTGGTCCCATAAAAATAATGAAATTAAAAAAAAAGTTGAAATGTCTACCCCAAGCATATCACCAAATGTCACATGGTATAGGCACTGTGATTATTAGGAGTTTTTGTTGTAAAATATAAACTGATATTCTATGTTTATTAGGATGGTCGAGATAAAGATGATCAGTTCTGAAAGTAGGTGGAAAAAAGACTTGTGCAGAATGTATAGGTTTTCTTTATTTGGCAATAAACCCTAACACCTCTGACCCATGTGATTAAATTGTGGAGACACACTGTTCAATATCAATCATTGACTATGTAATGTGATTTAGTTATAATTGACATTAATGCCAGATGAAAGAAGTCTATGAATAACATGAGTTAGACATAAAATCCAAGGGAACACTGCCCTCGGCTTTCAGTGTGGTAGTTAGCCCTCCGTATCAGGTGCCCTCTCATCCCTGGTTTAATACATGGAGGGGAATCCCGAGGTTATTCTTCATCAGGACAGGCGGAAAGTCACCATAATTATGACCATAGATGTGATGTAGTACTTTACAAATGAATTAATTATATAAATAAATTAACTTTAATTGTCTTTAGGTTACAAAGGGTCTGAGATACAAACTTCATCCCAGTTACTTAATTCACCATAACATTACTATACATATGAATGCTTTCACTTTGCAAATCAAATGTAATATGGTATTATTTCAATGAATGTTTACCGGAGTTTCAGTAAGTTCTTCAATGGTTCAAAATCTTTTCTGTACAAGTAAGAGGTCAAATAAATATCTAGATATCTTAAATGGACTTGTTCATCTTTAAATCTGGATTAGATCAATTATTATTTTTAGGGAAAATTAAAAAAATATGTACTGACTTAATAGTAAACAGTGCAGGCCATGATCGGAAGGCAATGATATCTTTTGCCACCACTAGACTAAGAATCATGGTACAAATTTGACAACACAATTATAATGCCAGGAAAGAAATATGTTTAAATTACAAAGGTTGATTTTGTTATACTCAAAGGAACTTTAAAAAGTTATGAATGATACTGGTATATCTTTTAACACAAGTTACACATGACTGTAGTTCTGAAACAAATCAAACATGCTTAATAGCTTTCCTATTAAAGTAGATGGTCATCCACCTTGCGGGGAGTTTAAGCCTTACAATAAAAGCATTCTAGTCCTGTGCTTCTAGTAGACAGACTAGCCTGCATATCCAAGCTGTCAAGACTAGGTATTCTACCCAGGTGGCTTTAATGTTCATACTAAATTCCCTTTAAACTTACACACAGATAGGTCAGAATTCATAACTGGGCAAGTCAGCAGACAATTTTGATATTCAAGATGTGTACAATTCTACAAAAATACTAGAACTCCGCGAGTCTGATGTGTCGCCTTGTGAACAATATAGTTTAGAAGAAATGGCCAGCACAAAAATGAAATGTGAAA